TTTAGTTCAGGGAGTAGTTGCGTTACCTTTTGATTTTTGTATTTGCAGAATAAAACAGAGCTCTGAGAGAGGAACTTGAATAGAGTGGGGGATATGCCACTGGCTCTTTCTCTGCTGGAGACAGAGACTTAACAGCTTACACAAACATGTCTGCTGCAAATTTACAGGAACCTCTACACTTAACTGCCTCATTTGTGTTAGGGCTTGACAATTTTCCTAGCTTTTTAAACAACTAACAGTGACAGTGACAGTCTGTTGCTACAACCCGTGCTGCTGACGACGCGTATGTTTTGGTGGGAAGGACCCTCGGTTTCAGGCAGGCTGTTTCAGCCGGCTGCACCTCCAGGCTGCTGTGGACCCTGAGCTGTGGTCCTTGGGCAGCAGCAGCAGGAATGTCCTCAATGTCACATGGCAGACTCAAGTAAAATTAGAGATACTTTGGAGCTTTACCCAAGCAAGAAATTGTCTTAGAGAGATGGGATCAAAGTCAAGAAGCAAACATAGACAAATACTCAAAGCAAAAAGCTACATTAGTGACTGACTCATCAGTTCTTATTCTGAATTCTCTGAAGGAGGCAAAAGTCCTACTTTATACATTCTTACAAGAAAAAGCTAAGGAAAAGAATGAATGAGGACTAGATATTCAAGTTTTCCTCACCATATTTGCCCTTGACATCCTTTGTGGAAGAGTTTCCAGCCAAGGTGACTACTAAAGCATTTGAAACGCACTTATATACCCTCAGGTTCTCAAGGATTCCTCTCAAATCTCGGCAAAGACGGATCTTGTGACGGTCACTTTCAACGCAGAGCTCTTTCAGTCTTATGAATTCCACATATGGTTTACAAGCTCAGTAACTCAAATATACTTTTTTAGACATTCATATAGCTCTTACTCAGACAGTATTTGCAACTTTGTCAACAGTAAAAGGTGTTCTGTACTTTTATCAGCCAGGTCCATCATTCAGTTACTATCATTCAGTAATTTCTCTAACAAAATTCTGCTGAGGCACACACTTCATAACCCTTCTTCATCATGCTCATTAAGGCCCTATCTTTGATTAGCTCTTTTGACAGCTTCTCTCAGATCCATGCTTTCCTATTTTGCAAATAGTCTTCTTCTTGAATTAGTTTGCAAGTAATATTCTCTTCCAAATCATGCCCCGGGCCTCTACCTAATGTTTACAGGAAAACACCCAGCCACTAACGTTAATGATGTATCAGGAACTTGGTTAACAGGTTTGCAATTGATGTCTTTAAACAATGTAGATTCACTGATTGTTTAGGCTTAACTATCTTCCTGACTTTTGCTTATCAAACAGCCTTACATCTTCACAGAGAAATGGCTCCATGGATTCTTGTTCATACTAAGGATAATTTGGGCAGGTTAACTTAAGAAAAAAGGATTGTCATATCTGGAAAAACTGACTAAGAATGTTTACATGGCAATTATATTTAGGTTTACAGCATGATGTTGGAAGGCACTTACTTCATTACGAAAATTAAAATGTTCAGAGAAAATGCGCAGTCCTGTGACCTTTTACAGGGATGTCTGTTTTTCTGTCCACCTGTACTAATCCAACGTTCTGCTCCATAGGGACTGTCTAGCAAGCTTAGTCATAGGAGCAAAAATCTACCCAACCAATAAACTCCCCAGCAGCCCCTAAACAATCCCAGGCTATAATACTAATGGAAAAAGTGTAGAAAAGTGAAAAACACCAAAGTAAGTGTAGGAGGAAACAGTCCTATGAAATACCACTCTGGTGAGTCAGCTCCCAGTATCCCAGGGTACTTCTGGGATGCCCAATGCTAGAAAGAACCTGAAAAGTTTAAGGATTGGTTTATAAGGAAAGCGTAAAGGAAGTCAAATATGTGTATATAGCATCTTGCTGGAATATCAGTATTTGAAAATATGTTAAGAGTAAAAAAAGAAAAAAGGTTACACGTGAGGACATAACTAGTAGTAATGACATGAAATAAAGGTGAAGAATTAGGCATCTGACAAAAGAAATATAATGGACTGAGGAAAAATTTCTCAGGAATAAGTGAATCCACTGATGGGACCTTTAATGCTTAGCAGGTTAGTCATCAGGAATACTGCAAACACAATGACTTTCCCTCTCTTTACCACTTTCCAAAATGATAAGCAAGACATTTTATTGAACTACCTAGACTCTAATGCAGCAGAGGCTAACACTTATGCATGAACACGATGATCCTGATATGCTCAGCGTTGCTGGTGTGCACGAAGTGAACGTGAGTATGCTACGGGACTGCGGGCAACAGTGCCTGCATTAGTGTCGTAGTAGGGAATGGGCTGAAATTGGTGGAAGTAATCATCCTTTCCTTCAAGATCGACAGATTAAGCAGTTTAGCTCCTTTTAGGAGTTAACTCCTTAGAGTAAGACACGTGAAATGGTTGCCTGCAAAACACAGCGTGCACCGAAGAACTGCCAGGAAGGGAACAACACAAAAGCAAAGCAAACGTAGGGTTTGGGGCCGTTTCCAAGGAATGCTGTATACGTGAACAAATACAGACAAAAAGCTGAGATCCCTGTCTGACTTTTGGTACCCGGCTGGCTGGAAATGGGGGCACGAGGTGCCAACACAGACTCCACCTCCGCCTGGGTCCCCCGTGCTCAAGGAAACGGCACTGGGTAGGTGTTGTTCCCGAATGTGAATATCTCAAAGGACTATCTGACGCCACCGGTCCTGTGCTAAGGGGGAGAGTGTCCGAGACGCAGGCCGGGGCCGCGTCCGACGCCTCC